GTCACACAATGTCACCATACGTGTAATATGTGGATAGGGGCTAGTCACACAGTGTCACCATACGTGTAATATAATGTGGATAGGGGCTAGTCACACAATGTCACCATACGTGTAATATAATGTGGATAGGGGCTAGTCACACCATGTCACCATACGTGTAATATAATGTGGATAGGGGTTAGTCACACCATGTCACCATACGTGTAAAATAATGTGGATAGGGGCTAGTCACACAATGTCACCATACGTGTAATATAATGTGGATAGGGGCTTGTCACACCGTGTCACCATACGTGTAATATGTGGTTAGGGGCTAGTCACACAGTGTCACCATACGTGTAATATAATGTGGATAGGGGCTAGTCACACAGTGTCACCATACGTGTAATATAATGTGGATAGGGGCTTGTCACACCGTGTCACCATACGTGTAATATGTGGTTAGGGGCTAGTCACACAGTGTCACCATACGTGTAATATAATGTGGATAGGGGCTTGTCACACCGTGTCACCATACGTGTAATATAATGTGGATAGGGGCTAGTCACACAATGTCACCATACGTGTAATATAATGTGGATAGGGGCTAGTCACACAATGTCACCATACGTGTAATATAATGTGGATAGGGGCTAGACCTGCGTGTAAATAAGGTATTGTGTGTTAGTTCCATTGGGAACTGTGTGTCCTGTCTGGTTTGTTTGGGGAATTCAGTAAAAAAGGTTGGCTGGCAGCACTGGTCCCTGATCGCACAGACGTGGTAAGAAATAGCTTGGCCTGAGAGCCTCAAGGGCCTTTGTAAAGGCAGTATTTTGAGGCAGGGCAGGCAGAGGTGTCACTACCTGCCTGGAAGAGGAAAAGAAGAGGCAAAGGCAGAGGGAACAATACTTGCCTGGAAAGAGAGAGCTGCAGCTTGGTCTGGTGGAAGAGGTCCTCAGAGACCATTGTCAAGCATTACTGGTTCTAAAGCGCTTCAGAGTTCCCTGGTTGCAGAGCGGAAGCTGACCTGGTGGAGGTACTTAGTCCGACTACAGGAACTCCATCACACCCTTGTTTTAACATATAATTTTAAGATGATGTATATGATGCAATGGTTATTTTCCTATTTTTTCATATGATGTTAGATAGGTAATCTAAGCTTTAATTGTAAACTTTCAGTGACCCATACATCATATTTTATAATATATAACATAAAACACCTACATTAGCATTATCAGTGTAAAAGGATACCCAGTGTGCCAAGAGAAGGCAGGAGAAGACACAGCAAACAATGTATGTTGCAGTTTCCTGAAAAATATTATACACTTGTTGCAACCAGTGAGCATCTGATAAAATGGCAATTTATACCGATTGATAGACATGGATGGATGAATCATTTTACAAAGGGCACAGAGTAATGCATAAATATAAGGAACAAATAAACTATATCGTCAGTTCCTCAGATCTGGTCATTGAAGACATAGCAGGTACCACAATCTACTTAAAGCAATCTAGGACAATTTAAAAGGTAAGGGATATTCTGAAAGAATGCACTCACTAGTTCCTTTTGAATCGGGATGTTTCCTTATATCATCCATTAAATTGTGTCCATAAAGGAACATGACAGTAATAACCCTTCTCTGAATGTAAACTAACTTTTCTAATTATAGGTTACACTCACCAAGTCCATAATTAGACATGCTGAACACTGTAATATCCAATATACATTGAGTGACCTCATTCAAAATAAACCTCGCTTTGTAAGCCATGTGATGATGTGAGTAATGTTAATTTTCTATAATCTAATTCAGGTGGCCAACAATATATTCTTCACATCTATGGTGTGAATGTCCTGACTATTCTTTAAATATAAACACATCTGTTTACATACAAAACCTGTATGTTGATGATAATGATAAGGATCGTGGAGATTCAAATTGATAGATTTTCATTTTTATCTGATATGCCATGTCGTTTGTAATGGTGTCAGTGAAACATCTGTTTTTTTTTAAGTTAGTCATTGACTGTCTACACCAGTGGTAGGCAACCTTCCGCACCCCAGATGTTGTGAACTACATGTTGTCAGACATATTATCTCCCATAAGGCTCTTGGAGCTATAATGCTGGCAAAGCATTAGGGTAAATGTAGTCCACAATATCTGGAGTGCTGAAGGTTGCCTTATTATCCCTGGTTAACACCATGTGGAGGAGAGAACATTCATGGTTACTCTCTTATAGCGGTCATAGTATGTCTGGTTACACCTGGCAGAGTCGCAATGTCCCCTGTCCCATGTTTACAGATATAGGTCTCTAGCATGAGTTTTTTAATGTCTACCTCTATATATAATGTCTATCCAAGTGGAGTACCATAGGTTACTGACCCCTGTTTTAGTATGTTGAAAATATTTTAAAAAGTGTATTCAAAAACACATACCCAAGAAACAACAAAAGGATAACCTTCATAAGGCGAGTGCCAAATCCGAACCCCTAATCACACAAGACTTTAGCACAACTATAACTGTGACCAACATGCCCGTGGCCACCAAATTTTCAGAAACCTTATATGCGAATGTTATACCAATGCAATGTTACCTATCTACAAAGTTCCAATTACATCGCAAAGTTTTTATACATGCGTATTGTCACATAAATAATTGTGAATTGTATTCTCACATGTTGCAACCCTCGCTAAAAACAGCAAAAATAAAGAATTAAAAAAAAAAACATGACGGATTATGACCAGGCCAATTACCACTGTACATGCATGTCATATTCCTTTCTGTATCACTGAAATACTGTTATATGAAACACGTTTACACTGCAGATTAATTTTCTTTCATGGCAAAAATAAAGAAAAAAAAATGTATTCAAAAATAATAAATGAAGGCCTTTATTGGTTTGATTCAGAAATGTATCAAATCTGCTTAAAAATAAAAATTTGAATGATTTATCTACATAATTCCCCTAGACTTTATTGTTGACTTCTGCATATAAATCATTTGATTTTTTTCTCTAATTGATTTAAATCATTTCTGATTCAAACAAATTAAATCTAGGGTAGCCTTGATTTGCAGGGTTATGGCCCAGTACCAATCGAGGCAAAACCACCCGGCCACATCCGGCCATTCAAATTTTCCAAGTAAGGCACCGAATGTGTCTGAATTATTTGGGGATTTCAGCCAGACCAAAAACCACCAGACAGCTAAAATCATGCTTCAAATTCTGGCCCAGTTTTAAAAAAAAAATCCAAACTATTTTCCTGCTGGCAGTGTTAGCAGCCCCCGGCAAATGGTGCAAGGGTTCATTGTGTGACATACGCTTGCTAGCCATGCACTACATCAAAAAAAGTTTAACCCCTTAAGGACCAAACTTTTGGAATAAAAGGGAATCATGACATGTCACACATGTCATGTGTCCTTAAGGGCTTAAATAAATAAATACAAATCCTGTACGGGGCAATAGAACCCCCCCTTTTGCCTCCACTGGGGCTTCGGATAAAAAGTGGCCATCATGTTACCCTTGCATAAAGTGCATTTTCATTTGACATTTACTTGATTTCCATTGACTTAATTGGATCCTGCATTAGCTGATAGTTTTTGCTGGCTGTTATCATGAATACAGCAATTACTGCATAGCTCTTTGGCTGTTCATTATTGCCAATTGTACAGTAAGCTTCCTGCGAGTACTAGAGTTAAATGTCTTAGCAAATATGAGCATGAGCTGTCAAATGCCTATGGAGGGATTTAAAGATTAGTTAGAAGATGTTCTGCTTGCGTGGGGTGGTCCTATAGAACGACTACATGTGCCTGGTTGGGTGAGCTGTGCTCTCCACCCCAAAATGCTTGGCATGTGAAATGCTCCCAATATTCAAATGATTCTACGGCTATAGATTTGATCATTGTTTAGTTAGCGCAATATACTGGACTCGAAGTTATGTCACCCAACTACCTCTAAACACATTAAAAAGAACCATGAATGCAAGGTTCATTAAAATGAATCCATTGAGCCATTTTGTGGGTGACGGTTGCACATTCTGAAAGGTAGTCTATGCTGCAATATTTGTTACAAACAGATTTTTGATTAATTCGACCAAATTTACCTTTGAGAAAAAAAATCTTAATTTGGGAACCTGATACAAGGGTCCTACTCCATGTATAAATGCCAAAAAATCAGCTCACGAAGTGCTCCAATGGAAAATGAACATTTATTAAACTGACTATGTGCAGAGGGTGTATTAATGAATGTTAGTATTCCCCAGGAGTGCATGGTTACATGTTTGTACAGCATTTATACAGATTGTTTTAAGATATGTTTACCTGGTTTCCTCTTTTTACACTGCGTGGCACAAAGCTAATTGTCTTATGCTAATGCCGGAGGTTGACAAAAGTTGACAACAGACGGAGCTGTAGCCATCACGTTTTCTTAATTCCCTCTGTAGTCGCAAGCGTCCGCATCATCCTCCCGAGCTCCAGGTTTAGACTTTGGTGGATCCCATTGTCTCACAGGATGATCAATACAAATCACTGTTGTACTATCCTGCATGCACAAGAGTACAGCATTGACGCCACCATGGCTGGCTTAAGATCCCCTGAAGGTGACAATAAATCCATTTCCATGCTTATTACCCTGGCAGACACCCAATTTCTGTTTTAATGTATTCACCAAATTGGTAGAAAAATGATTAAAAACTAAATTAAATGATAAAAGCAATTTAGACATTTTCAAGCAGTTAAGCTATTTTTTTTTACCTCTGATTATCTCAAATGGGCATGTGGGCATAGGCTATAGTTAATCGTCAATAACTAAAAAGTGACCGGAAAAAATGTGAAAAGATTCAGGGACGATCAAAAGTAATTGGGACAATGTTCCAACCGCTATATTTAGCTAAAAATTGCAAATTTTCAGCAGATTTAATGGTAGAGTGCATTTGACTAGTTGTGAATATTAATACCAGACTCATGGATTGCAGAGTGCTTTCTGGCAATAATTCTGCATTTGTTTTGTTCATTTCTAGGAGAGAAATGAAGCCTGTATTGCAATCAACACCATACTACAAATATGTCCTAATTTTTCTGACAAAATGTTTCTTGGTCTTTATGTTGTTTTCCAATATGGACATTAATTTGAGTAGTCCAAAAGTGCCAGATCCCCAGATATCCCCACTTTTCACTCAGAAAGTTTATAATCTGACAATCTTGCTTTGGACATGGCCCTTTGGTAACCACTTTCCTCTAAACCAGTTTAAGAGCTCTGGTGAATGTCAAGGATGTGTCTTCACAACAAACCGTAGCTCTTATCGTATGGCTGATGCTGTCATTTTCCATCATAGAGATGTCTGTCAATCCAAGAAACAAATGCCCCAGATAGCTAGACCCCCAGAGCAATATTGGGTATGGTTCAATTTGGAATCACCCAGTCACTCTCCAAATTTAGGCTTCATGGACAATCTCATCAACCTCACCATGTCTTATCGAAGTGACTCTGATATCTTCACTCCTTATGGCTGGCTGGTGAAGAACAACATCAATCAGAACTTTACAATCCCTGAAAAGACACTTTTGGCAGCCTGGGTAGTGAGCAACTGGAATCCTAACTCCAAAAGAGTTAAATATTATCAGGAGCTAAACAAATACATGCAGATTGATGTCTATGGTAGGCAGCACAAGACTTTACCAGATGCAGGTATGCAAGATACAAGTTCTATTTTGCTTTTGAGAATTCACAGCATAGAGACTATATCACTGAAAAGCTTTGGAGAAATGCCCTGCTATCTGGGGCTGTACCTGTCGTTCTTGGGCCACCCAGAGAAAACTATGAAAGGTTCATTCCTCGAGATGCATTTATCCATGTAGACGATTTCCCTAGCCCTAAAGGACTTGCTGACTACTTGTATGAGCTGGACAAAGACAAAGAGAGATACGAACGGTATTTCAAATGGAGGGCGAACCTGCAACCAAAAGCTTCCACAAATCTTGCTGCACATTATTGCAAAGTTTGTAAGGTATTAAAGGAGGCCCCTGTCTATAGGACAACACCCAGTATTGCAAAATGGTACACATAAAAAGAAGATGACACCATATTTTACGTCCTTGTGACTAAAACAATCCAGAAATTCTCACGAAAATATAAGTGATGCATGCCAAAGATATATATATATATATACGTAATTTTATTCTTACATTACCATATGTTAATTGTTGTAGATTTTGTAGCCTGGTATCGGTGCCTTGACAAGACTAACAGGACGCAAAGTGATACAGACTAAAACAGATGTAATAAATCTGAATCTTTATTACAACAGTCAGTAATACAAAGTACAAGAAAAATACAATAAACTCCCAAAAATATGAATTAATTAAGCAGCATAATAATAGCAACAATGGAGCATAAATAAAAGTAAAAATGAACTACCCAACTAATGGAGAGGGATTGTCAGAAAATATTAGACAATCTTCAGTATCTTGTAAGAGGGCTGCAGCCTCATACAATTGCGCAGTGCTTTTTCTGTCTCAGCACTGTATATGTTTGTACTTGGTCTTGCGACCAATCCCCATGTTCTCCGGGTGAAATGCAATATCCAGGGTCAACAGAGCTGCGAATCCTGATGAGTTTGTATAATGTCAGCTGCAAAAGGCCACAACTTGGCTGTCACAGGAAATATATTACATAAAAATAATATATTAAAAAAATATATGAATACTGAGGATGAGATGAATACGGAGTGTCACTCAAGTATTGGGAAGTTCATGGTGGGCTGGAGGGTTAATAAAGAACAATGATTTATAGAAAATATGCCGATGGTTCTCAGTAATTCAGGAGTACAGAGAAAAGGAAAAAAATGGAGGCGTGAAAAACCCCTGCAGAATAAGCAACACGCTAATGGCACGGACCCAATAATAATACTACACAGATCACCAGCACCACCCAGAGCTCCGTCCTTGCTGGGAACCAATGTACCTCCATCAAAGTACAATAATGAGTGGATGGTCTCACCGAACTTTGCGGTTATAAAATAAGTAGCTACTCAAACAAACAAAAATAAACCCTGCGCTCAAACTCCCACTACACCAGGGCAGTTGCATTGACGATACGACACATCAGCCTCAATACATACAATAATCCTTTTATGCTAATGACAAAAGGAGTATTGTCTACGTATCTTCGGCAACCTAAACATGTACCACAAATGATAATTGATGCATTTTACTTTTCTTTTACTTTACCAACTATCTTGATTTAAATAAAAACATTAAGGTACAAAATAAGTAAAACGAACCAAAATATACAATAATAAATATTATAAAATTGGGATATCGGACCAGGGGCTGATAATTGAAATGGCAATAAAATTATGTTACAACGATAAATAAGCAGTGACATTTTCCATAAACATTCTTTGTTTAACTCAATTTAACAAAGTCTGTTTAAATTACCATCAGAAATTAAAAAGAAATAAAGGAAACGATTGTGCAATATGTTCTCAGTTATTAGATGAAAGAATGTAGCAGACTTTAGACACAAAGTGCCATATAATATAGCACTTTCAATGTCAGATAAGTGCAATATCCCAGATAAGGAAACACAGAGTAATCATTCACTTTTAACCATTGAATTGATAAGGACTGAGAAAAAATACATAACCAGCCCTAGACGGTATTGTAGAAAGAAGCAGATAAGATGGTGAAGTGAGCGCTCCGGCTGCTAGTTCACACAATAGTGTTTGCTTAAGGTCAGAGTTGTAAGATAAAATTAATTGGAAAGCTTACTGGTTGGTCAGTTTCTGTTAAGACCTTTCTCATAGCCTCAGTGCTCTCTCCACTGATGGTCACCATGTAGAAGCTACTCACATCAAGTGTGACAAGCCATAAGCCAGTTGGTGGAATACAGGTGCCGACAATGTGTTAAAGTCAAACAGCTGTCACAGAATCTCAAAACGGTAACCTGAATATTTAATGGCCAATCGTGCCACTTTGTCTGCAGGGCAAAGGGCGAGTAACAATATTTGGTTTCTTCACAAGTCATATACAGTCCTGAAAAATATAGTATGCCCTCTTTGAATTCTATGGTTTTACATATCACGACACAATAACAATCATCTCTTCCTTAGCAGGTCTTAAAATTACGTAAAGCTCTGATGAACAACAACACATGACATATTACACCATGTCGTGATTTACTTAACAAAAATAAAGCCAAAATGGAGAAGCCATGTGTGAGCAGGATATTATTTTGTTGCAGAGGGATTTAGACTGGTGGACTGGGCACTCAAATGGCAGATTAAATGTAATGCAGAAAAATGCAAAGTTATGTACTTTGGCGTAAAGAATGCACAAGCAACGTATACCCTTGATGAGAGCAAATTAGGGAAAACAACACATGAGAAGGATTTGGGAATTGTTATAGACAACAAACTATGCAACAATGTGCAATGTCAATCAGCAGTGGCCAAGGCCAGTAAGGTATTGTCATGCATGAAAAAGGGCATTTAATTCTCAGGATGAGAATATAATTTTGCCTCTTTATAAATCACTGGTAAGACCATATCTTGAATATGCTGTGCAATTTGGGCACCTGTTCTAAAGAATGATATTATGGCACTAGAAAAAGTGCAGAGGCGGGCTACAAAATTAATAAAAGGAATGGAACATATCGGCTATGAAGAAAGGTTAACAAATTTAAACCTATTTAGTTTAGAAAAACGTTGCCTGAGAGGGGATATGATAACATTATACAAATATATACAGGGCCAGTACAGACCAGTGTGTGGAAATCTACTCACTAACAGCACTATAGATGGGACACAAGGTCATGTGTTTAGACTGGAAGAAAGAAGATTTTGTCTAAGGCAAAGGAAAGGTTTTTTTTACCGTAAGAACAATAGGGATGTGGAATTCTCTGCTTGAAGTGTGGTTTTATCAGAGTCCGATCAGATGTTTGAACAGAAACTAGATGCATACTTGAGAGTAAGCGGACTAAAAGTCCAATCAGAGAATAACGTGTTAAAAAAGGAAGCCCTACCTTTAATAAACCTAAAGGAAATAATATATAGAATAAACCAATAAGAGTAAAGGTAAAGGCTAGAGGACAATCTAAATGTCTATATTAGAGACATATAGTAAAAGGCATATAGGCACAGAAAAAGCTGTATATAAAATCAGCAAGAAAGCTGAAAATGCCGAGCTGCCTATCCAGAGGAACCGGGCTATACAGAGGTAAAAGGAGAGGAGGAGGGAGAAATTGATTAAATTATTTAGAAGGAGAACCCCTTTGAAATCCCCCAAAACCCAATGCTAAAATAAAGCAAGGTTGTCCTATTATACCTCGGCATATGCCCACTAATTTTAGTTAATTTAAGTGTGTTTTGTTTATTCTAGTTGAGGAAGGGACAGAGGTTCAGGTAGGCATTAGTGGTTTATCCACGGTGCCGAGGTATAATAGGGACAACCTTGCTTTATTTTAGCATTGGGTTTTGGGGGATTTCAAAGGGGTTCTCCTTCTAAATAATTTAATCAATTACTATTTCCTTTAGGTTTATTAAAGGTAGGGCTTCCTTTTTTAACACGTTATTCTCTGATTGGACTTTTAGTCTCTCATTTTGTTTATCGCTTAACTAGTGGGTTACTCCCACACAGAGAATAACAAGTGGGCTTTTCTTATGAGCTATCATCTGGTCCCTTTACTTTCAGGGTTCCTTTTGGACCTGCTCCTTTATTATCTTTATTGCTTTATTTCTGTAGATACATACTTGCAAAAACAGAATATTCAATGATATAATATTTCAGCTGTAAGGTAATAACTTCTTGATCCAAGGATTAATCTGACTGCCATTCTGGGGTCAAGAGGGAATTTTTTTCTTAGTTTTTTGCAAAAGTGGAGGTGCTTCAAACTGTTTTTTTTTTTTTTTTTGCCTTCTTTTGCATCAACAGCAAAAAACAAACGTAAGGAAGGCTGAGCTTGATGGACACATGTCTCTTTTCAGCCTATGTAACTATGTAACTATGTAACTATGTTAGTACATCTTATGATTAAATAGCTTGTAGAACCACCTTGGGTGGAATTTTGGTCCACTCTTCATTGCAACGTTGCTTAAGTTCATTGGGGTTTGCTGGTATTGTTTATGCACAACGCTCTTAAGGTCCCGCCACAGCATTTTAATCAGTTTGAGTTCTGGACTTTGACTGGGCCATTGCAACACCTTGATTCTTTTCTTTTTCAACTATTCTCTTGTAAATTTGCTGCTGTGCTTGGGATCATTGTCCCTTTGCATCATATTTGACTCTAGGATACTTGGTTATCAGGGCCGGACTGGGGATACAAAGCAGCCCTGGAAAAAAAATTTGTGCCAGCCCCATAAGTCACTGCGCCATATATTGTCGCATGTAATATGTAAGGCTATGTCTTGCCAGGACAGATGATTGAGTAATATATATATATATATATATATATATATATTGCTTTTTCTAATATAAAATATAGGTCCTTTCAGGGTAAAACGTTTAATTATACAGTAAGCATACGCACATGCAGACACAGGCAATTTCACTGACATTTCAGTGACACACACAAGCTCATTGATACACAGCCTCATAGACAAACAATCTTACTGATATACATCAGCTCATTGACATAAAAACACAAGCTCACTCACTAGCAGGCACACGCATGCAAGCAAGCTCACTCACTAGCAGACGCACACACACAGCTTAATGTGGTGGTACTGGTGTCTATAGCATGTCCCTACAGGCTTTTCAACGTAAACACTGACTTTTCAGACAAAAGGCAGTGTTTACATTGCTTCAAAGTGACACTGCTAGTGACAGTCACTCAGACGGTCACTAGAGGTGCTTCCTGTGTTAGTGCCCTCCCGCCCTCGCGCGCTGCTGAATGAGACTGGCGCCGGAATATGACGGCCTTAGGCCTGGGGGGCAAAACCAGTCAAGTAGACTGGTGCACCTGCCCAGGATCAGAGCCGGTGCAAGGGTTTTTGCCGCCCTAGACAAAATAAAAATTTGCTGCCCCCACATGTCACATCACAATGCCCCACCCATATGATCTGCCATATGAACTAACGCCAGTGCTGCACACAGTGTGTGTTTACATTAAAAAGCCTGCAGGGACCAGCTATAGACACCAGAACCACTTCATTAAGCTATAGTGTCCCTTTAATGTGAGGTAAATTATAGATTAGTGTCACTAATAATATACTAGATTGCCTACTTACAAACAGATGAGGATGATGATGGGCTGCAGTTTGGCTCCACTGGTCTGGTGTAGAACAGGATCTCTGGAGGCTGTTTGCAGCTGTGGTCACAAAATTCAATGTTCTGCAGGAGAATTGGAAGCAGCTCCATTTTTTGGGGCCCCTTACACAGCTCAAGGTCTGGGCCCCAGGGCCTGACGGTGAGTATGCCAAGGCCCCTCATAAGTTCCTGCGGAGTTGCGCTCTGGGGGTGGAGTGTGTAGGGGATGTGTTATGTGTTATTGTAGGATCTAATATGTGTGCTTATGGTATGTAGTGTATAGGGTTACCAATTTGTGCAGGTGATGTAGTGTGTTTGTGTGCAGTGGAAGCAGTGTGTATTTGTGTATAAGGGATGTATTATGTGTTTCTGGTTGTGTGTAAGGGATGCATTGTGTGAATCTGTGTTTGTATGCATATGGGATGCAAGGTGTGTGTCTGTATGTGTGTGCATTGAGTGTAAGAGATGCATTGTGTTTCTGTGTGTATGTAAGAAAAGAAGTGTGTGTGTTTGCATGCGTGTGTACGGGTTTGCATTGTCATATACAGTTTCTGTGTATGTGTGCAAAGGATGCATTGTCTTTGTGTGTAAGGGTTGCATTGTGTGTGTGTGTGTGTGTGTAATGGATGCATTGTGTGTTTATCTGTGTGTAAGGGAAGCATGTTGTGTTTCTGTGTATGTATAGGGATGCATTGTGTGTGTGTGCGCGCGTAGTGTGAAAAAGCTCCCTGTCTTGGCCCCTGTCCTATAGAGCTGCCCCCTCTTCTTATTCCCCTCCCTCTTTATTCCCCCTATCTTATTCCCCCCTCCCCTCTTCTTATTCCTTCCTCCCTCTTCTTATTCCCTCCTTCTTATTCCCCCCTCCCCTCATCTTATTCCCCCCCTCCCTTCTTTATCCCCCCCCTCCCCTCTTCTTATCCCCTCCCTCCCCTCTTCTTATTCCCCCCCCCCCTCATCTTATTCCCCCCTCTTTTTACTCCCCCCATCTTATTCCCCTCCCCCCTCTCCCCTCATCTTATTCCCCTCCCTCCCCTCTTCTTATTCCACCCTCCCCTCATCTTATTCCCCCCCTCCCCTCTTTTTATTCCCCCTCCTCATCTTATTTCCCCCTCCCCTCTTTTTATTCCCCCCCCCCCTCATCTTATTCCCCCTCCCCTCACTTGTCCCCCCCTCCCTCTTATTCCCCCCCCCTCTTCTTACCCCCCCCCTCATCTTATTCCCCCCCTCTTTTTCTTACCCCCTCCCCCATCTTCTTCCCCCACTCACATCTTATTCCACCCCCTCCTCTTCTTACCCCCCTCCCCTCTTCTTATCCCTCCCCCCTCATCTTATTCCCCCCCTCCCCTCTTCTTATTCCCCCCCTTACCCCCCCCATCTTATTCCCCCCCTCCCCTCTTCTTATTCCCCTCCCTCCCCTCTTCTTATTCCCCCCCTCCCCTCTTTCTTCCCCACCTCCTCCCTCCATCCCCTTCTTATCCCCCCCCCCCCCTCCCCTCTTCTTATTCCCCCCCCTCATCTTATCCCCCCTCCCTCTTTTATTCCCCCCCTCCTCTATTCCCCCCCTCCCCCTCTTCTTACCCCCCCTCCTCCTCTCTTCTTACCCCCCCCCTGTAGCGTGACGACTGCTCCTGTTCCGGTTTGTTTCTGTAACCCGGCCGGACTGACAGGAAGTGCACCTCAGTGTGCACCTTCCCTATCACTCCAGCCAAACCACAGCGAGACGGTGCAGCTCGACCAGCTACCGGGGCTGCAGCCGCCTGACCGCTCTTCACAGAGCGCTCGGGCGGCTGCAGCATTTAAAGGGCCGGCCCAGGAACGCGGCCGGCCCCCAGGTGCCGCGGCCCACCGGGAAATTTCCCGGTATCCCGGTGGGCCAGTCCGGCCCTGTTGGTTATACAGAGGAGTTGATGGTCAACTCAATGACTGCAAGTTTTCCAGGTACTTTGGCTGCAAAATAAGCCCCAATTATCACGCCTCCACCACCACGCTAGACAGTTGATATGAGTTGTTTGTGCTGATATGCTTGGATAAGTTTTTGACAAATGTGGTGCTGTGCATTATGGCCAAACTCCAGTTTGGTCTCATCTGTCCAAATGACATTGTTTCTGAAGTCTTGTGGTTTGTTCAGATGCAGCTTTGCAAACCTAAGCCTTGCTGTCATAATATTTTAGAGAGAAGAGGTTTTCGCCTGGCAACCCTTCCAAACACACCGTACTTGTTCAGTCTTTCTCTAATTCTACTGTCATGAACTTTAACATTTAACATGCTAACTGAGACATCTAGAGTCTGAGATGTAACTCTTGGCATTGTGACCTTGGGATGAAATTGCTGGGACGTCCACTCCTGGGAAGATTGACAACCGTCTTGAATGTTTTCCATTTTTGTATCATCTTTCTCACTGTAAAATGATGGACTATCAACTATTTGGAAATTATCTGAATGCTCCAGGCCAGCAAACTGCTAAAACTTTTAGAAAATTGGGCAGACTAGATGGGCCGAATGGTTCTTATCTGCCGTCACATTCTATGTTTCTAACTTTGACTTTTATAGATGTGATCACACTTGCTGATGATCAATTAATCAAGGGCATTTGGTTAGCAGCACCTGTCTGCTACTTAGCCTATTAATTACGATTGAAGCAGTAAGGGTGTACTTTCCACACATGGCTTCTCCATTTTGGCTTTATTTTTGTTAAACAAATCATGACATGGTGTAATATGTCAGGTGCTGTTGTTTATCTGAGATTGTGTTTACCTTAGTTTAAGACCTGCTGAGCAATAGTACATTCAGGTGACACTATGTATTGGCATTTGCAACCTTAAAGATTTTTTTTATAAATATCAATCTAAGGTTTTCATATATTAGGGTATGCCCACCATGTATGCAAAATATGTCCAGACTTCAACCTATACAGGGAGTGCAGAATTATTAGGCAAGTTGTATTTTTGAGGATTAATTTTATTATTGAACAACAACCATGTTCTCAATGAACCCAAAAAACTCATTAATATCAAAGCTGAATATTTTTGGAAGTAGTTTTTAGTTTGTTTTTAGTTTTAGCTATGTTAGGGGATATCTGTGTGTGCAGGTGACTATTACTGTGCATAATTATTAGGCAACTTAACAAAAAACAAATATATACCCATTTCAATTGTTTATTATTACCAGTGAAACCAATATAACATCTCAACATTCACAAATATACATTTCTGACATTCAAAAACAAAACAAAAACAAATCAGTGACCAATATAGCCACCTTTCTTTGCAAGGACACTCAAAAGCCTGCCATCCATGGATTCTGTCAGTGTTTTGATCTGTTCACCATCAACATTGCGTGCAGCAGCAACCACAGCCTCCCAGACACTGTTCAGAGAGGTGTACTGTTTTCCCTCCTTGTAAATCTCACATTTGATGATGGACCACAGGTTCTCAATGGGGTTCAGATCAGGTGAACAAGGAGGCCATGTCATTAGATTTTCTTCTTTTATACCCTTTCTTGCCAGCCACGCTGTGGAGTACTTGGACGCGTGTGATGGAGCATTGTCCTGCATGAAAATCATGTTTTTCTTGAAGGATGCAGACTTCTTCCTGTACCACTGCTTGAAGAAGGTGTCTTCCAGGAACTGGCAGTAGGACTGGGAGTTGAGCTTGACTCCATCCTCAACCCGAAAAGGCCCCACAAGCTCATCTTTGATGATACCAGCCCAAACCAGTACTCCACCTCCACCTTGCTGGCGTCTGAGTCGGACTGGAGCTCTCTGCCCTTTACCAATCCAGCCATGGGCCCATCCATCTGGCCCATCAAGACTCACTCTCATTTCATCAGTCCATAAAACCTTAGAAAAATCTGAGAGATTAGAGAAATCTTGAGATATTTCTTGGCCCAGTCTTGACGTTTCAGCTTGTGTGTCTTGTTCAGTGGTGGTCGTCTTTCAGCCTTTCTTACCTTGGCCATGTCTCTGAGTATTGCACACCTTGTGCTTTTGGGCACTCCAGTGATGTTGCAGCTCTGAAATATGGCCAAACTGGTGGCAAGTGGCATCGTGGCAGCTGCACGCTTGACTTTTCTCAGTTCATGGGCAGTTATTTTGCGCCTTGGTTTTTCCACACGCTTCTTGCGACCCTGTTGACTATTTTGAATGAAACGCTTGATTGTTCGATGATCACGCTTCAGAAGCTTTGCAATTTTAAGAGTGCTGCATCCCTCTGCAAGATATCTCACTATTTTTGACTTTTCTGAGCCTGTCAAGTCCTTCTTTGACCCATTTTGCCAAAGGAAAGGAAGTTGCCTAATAATTATGCACACCTGATATAGGGTGTTGATGTCATTAGACCACACCCCTTCTCATTACAGAGATGCACATCACCTAATATGCTTAATTGGTAGTAGGCTTTCGAGCCTATACAGCTTGGAGTAAGACAACATGCATAAAGAGGATGATGTGGTCAAAATACTCATTTGCCTAATAATTCTGCACTCCCTGTATTACATAACGCTGAATGTAAGTATTCATCTTGGATTGGAGATCTGGAGCCAAATACCTAAACAATATGTTATGAATATTAGGGAAGTGCATGGGCAAAAAAATTGGTTCTGTTTGGCACCTCCGAAATTCGGGGCTTCAGCAATTCGGCACTTAGGGTCGGTTCAGCACTTCGGAAATTCGACACTTTGGCGCTTCGGAAATTCGGCACGTTGATAATTTGGAAGCATACGAATGTCTGAATTGACGAAGCTCTTTCGAATTTTAATTCTCATCGAAACGAATTGCACATGTCTAATGAATATGGGCTGTGTGTGATAAATGAAGTAAAACACCCTAAGGTGCAGATATCCAGGAGCTAGATAATGATGACGACTAATAGCAAATGTCAGTATGAAGATACAATGGGGTAGGTTTTACAATATTGTGTTCCTGATATTTTAACAAATCAAATTATAAAAGAGATCATTTGAATAATAAAAGCTTCTGTTATAACCAGTGACACAGTGACTAATTTCATGACTAAAATGGCTGTAAATTCATATTGGAATAACTTAGATTAAATACCAAAAATAGGTGACATGAATAATACACATGGGTATCATTGAATTAAAACACTGATAATCGAAGACTCTTGTAAGTTCACTAACAGAAATAATAAAATAAAATAGAAATACAAACAGATGGGAGTATCATTGGCATTTGATGACTAGTTATATCTTATATGTGATATCATTACACATACAGATATCCATCTCTGCTTTGAATTTAGTAAAAAAAACATTGTGTACAGTCAGATATATTGGATACTGTGGGGAAAAAAACTGTATGAGAATCCCAATAAAAAATAATAGATAAATGAATAAACGAATAATATATATCTGGCAGACTGTGCCAAAGTGCTGTGTAATAGATAATTATAAATGAATCGAGAATAGAGGATGGAAATAGGTGCAAGTGATCGCTAGACAAAACTAGAATACATTGAATATCGTCATTTAAAATTATGATAAAATGATGTGTGAAGACCTATGGGTCCAAAAGACTTGCTGAAATGGATACACTTATAATAATCTTTAAAAGAAAAAAGTGAGAAGGCGCAGCATAAGGTGACATTAGATAGAACTCTAACGATATGAAAGATTCTTATAAGGACGTAATACAGACGAAAATAACTAATGTCCATATCATTAATTGTTAATTTAGGGATTGAAATGGATCGAGGCAGTGGAAGGAGTGAAAATGATGTTGTATACATAAACTAGATGTACACATGAAACTGGATACAAGAATTTACATAACCTAAATAAGTTATGGATTAAGAACACCAGCAGATGTACGTATACAATGTGTCAATAATGTGTCAATAAAGGTTACACTGGGGTTGAGACTAAGACAAAAGATACAAAGTACTAGGAATAAGATGGATGATAATAAAAATTTAAATCCAAAAAAGCAAAAAATGAAACAAGAAATCAAGGAGAACTACATTTTAATATGGTCATAGAGTAAAGGTAAAAATTGGAAATAAAAATTAGAATAATAATAATCATAATAATAATAATAGAACCTGAAGAGTAATTGCAGTGAAAAATAGAATAAAATTAAATAAAATAAAATGAGTCATGGATATAGTATATGAGATAAAATACAGATAGCAAATGGATGAACTAAGAAGGTTAAAATAAAAACAACAATAAAAAAGGCTGCGCCACAATAAATAATAATACAATATAATAAAATATAATATATAAGCAAAGTCCAAAATAAAAGAGAATCCAACTTATGTGTCCTTGCGAATGGTCTTTGAGGAAGTTAGTGCAATAGTGAAGTCTTCGTAAACTGTAGTGGTTCCACTTATATGGAAAATAAAAGAGAAGGACAACCAATAGTGCAATATGTATAGTTCAAATATGGACGTGATGGAAAAATAATTGTAGAGAACTCACATTTACAAGAGCTTATGTCCAGCTCTAGGGTAAAAGCGCGTACAGCGGTATGATCCCCGCTTATTGGATATGTGGTGAGTACATCTCTCCGTCACTGGTGTCCAATTCTCAGGGAGGAAAAAAGAGACAACCGATAGTGCTCACTGTATGATAGTCTCTTATATAAGTAAATGAAATTGTACTTACAAATGGAGAGCAGACCGACTGCTCTTTTGTATCAGCGTAGGTGGATAAATCCATACCTGGGATTTCTTCAGGTGCAGGAGACTTCCAAGGGTTATAAAACCAAAGAAAAAAAGCATAAAAAATATAGAATAATAAAAAAGCCAGGGTAAAATAAAATACAAAATTATGTATATAAAAAAGAATAATTGGCACAAATAAATGACCAAAATACTTTTAATACAAAAATACACAATATAAAATTTCCATAACTCATTTCGTCAACAGACTTTTTCAAATGGAATAACATACAATACCTGGCTTGTTTGAGTTATATAGGGACACAAATAATTTGAATATTAGCGCCAAAAATGATCCATCCAATCAAATTGCGATCAAATTTGGCAAGTTTAAAACCCATAAATAAGTTAATAAAAGGATAGTGCATCATAGTAGGACATGATTGTAATATATATTAATCAAAAACGGGGATAGGAAAATGAAAATAAAAACTATTGAAATTTCACACGTGACTTGTGGCACTTCAGGGTTTCGGAAGCTATGCCGCACAGACACATGGAAAATGTAGTTGTTTTGTAGCCGCGAATGGCGGCCATGTAAACAATATGATGGGAAGGTCTATTCAAGCTGTAATTATAGCGCGGCCATCTTGGGGCAGAATATGTGGGTGGAAGCCATATTAGGAAAGGCAAAGTGTAAAATACATAAGATCAAGTTTTAACAAGAAAAGAGTCTGCTATAGCAAGATAACAATAAAAAAATAGCTCCATAAATAATATGTAGGTGGTATAATATAAAAAGGGGTAATTTAAAATAAGCAGAGTGAAAGATAAATGAACAGATATAAATAATGATTTTTAAAACAATAAAAAACATTAAAAAACATAAAACATTATTGTAAAAGTACAAACATAATCACTCCTTATTATAAAAAGTTATGCAGATCGAAGTCTACATTGAGACCGTGGGGTATAAGAGTCTTAAGATTATACACCCATTCCATTTCTATTTTTCCAAGAAGGTTAAAAGCAGCGAGGTGGAAAAAGAGGTATGGGAGAATGATCTATCTTAAAAACACATTTAATTCAAAGTCCACATTGAGGCCTTCGGGTAGTAACGTGTTGAGTGGGAAGATCCACTTCGCCTCTGCTTGATCCAAGTTCTTTTCAATATCCCCTCCTCTCCAGTGTGTGTCGACTTTTTCTATAGCTATAAATTGTAAGCCTGTCAGGTCGCCGCCATGGACTTCCTTAAAATGTCTTGATAGATTACGTGTAAGTAACTCTCTTTTGACATTCCGGATGTGTTCAGCGATCCTTACTTTGAGTTGCCTCTTGGTTCTCCCTACAAATTGCTTTGGACAGGGACACTTAATAAGATAAATCACTCCTGCAGTATTACAGGTCATCTGTGACCTCAATATATACTCTTTTGAGTCTTCCAGACATGTGAATGTAGAAGTGGTAGCTGCTTGGTCAGGATTGTTTCTGCATCCTAGGCATTTATTACATCTTCAAAATATTATCATACCATCAGTCTCTTTCATGAAATGTATAGATTTTAGAGTTGGAGCCAACAGCAATTTCAGATTTGGGGCTCTTGTGAAGATGATCTTAGGTTTTTCATCTAGGATGAATGAAAGTGTGGGGTCACTCTTTAGGACACCCCAATGTTTCTTGAGTATGCTTTGCAATACATGTGATTGATTGTTATATTTGGTAATAAATGCCGGGGTTTGATTATCGAATTGTATGGGTTGCTTCCTGTTGTGCAGGGTATCTTCCCTTGGGATAGCCAGTGCTCTTTCTATCAATTCTTCTTAGAGTGGAATTGGATAGCCTTTTGTCATGAATCTTGATTTCATTTCTTCCATCTGTACAATACATATGTCAGATTGTTAGCAGTTTCGTCTTACTCTCCTGAATTGGCTCTGAGGGATACTTTTGAGCCATGTGGGTTTATGATGGCTATGGTAGGGGATGAAACTGTTGCAGTCTACGCTTTTTTTGAAGGTTTTGGTGTGTAGTTTACTTTCTTTGATGTAGATGCAGAGATCCAAAAATTCTATTTGGGGGGGCGGGGCCGGGCCGCCAAGCAGCATGGCAGCAGAGTAACATGGCTCCGGGACAGAATCCTGAAAAATGCCACACAACTCACACACAATCTGCCCCAGAGCTGAAAAACATACAGTAGTGATACGGGGCACCACCCAAGCTACCTTACCATACCAAACCGCAGCCACAATCGCATCAGGAACACCAAAACAGACGAACCCGGCCTACACACCAGCTTGGGCCTAAGCATGGGCAACCGCAGGCCAGGAACTACCACTTGAGAGCTGGACTGGCGGAACAGACATACAGGTCGAGTGGACATCTACAGGGATCTACGCGGCGAGAGCTGCGGCCCCGCTCCGCCCCCCCCCCCCGGCCAGGGGGGGTAATCCTGGCCACATGGAGGCCACACAACCCGGGCTGGACACCACCACCTGGGCAACACACGGCCCTCCTGTACAGGCACAGGCTGCCTAACCGTGGCCCGCCTGATAACAACACCTGAAACCAAGGGACGTTTATTACCCAACTGCTTATTTCAGGTCAGACTGCTGGCATTACCTTAAGAAGCTGCCCCATGGAAGTGACACCCACAGGCGGAGATGGGCACTAGGGGCGATGCACGTGGGCGGAGGAGGCCAGGCGGGACGCTGCCGCGACATCCTTGGGACCCGCTGGCTGGATGCTGTGGCCCTGGGATTGTGCCTTGCGGAGAACGAATCGCCGTCACCTCTGGGTTTTGTGGAGGGCCTGGAGGTGGCTGTCCCCGACACTGTGTGCCCTTGTGGAGTGGAGCGCGGCAGCCCCCGGCGGACCGGTGGCTGAGGGGAAGTCGGCGCCTGCCCTGAGAGGCCGGAGAAGGGTGAGACACAAGACGGCCTTCGCCTCATCCGGCTGGGGCTCCGGAGGCGCGGTGGGGGTGCAGGGGATGACTGGCACACGGACTCTAGGTGGGGGGGTCTTGTGGGTTAGTGGGTCCCCGGGTGCCCGCTGCGCTGAGGATCCCCTGGTCGGAAGCTCGACATGACCTGGGGGGGCGCGGCGGAAGGCTGGCGCCCCGGGGACTGGCTGCGGATGTGTCTGCAGTCGGCTCCCTCTGCTCGGAGTGTGTTGTACCTGCAGCCCGCCCGCTGTCTGGGGACTAAGATGAATACGCAGCTTATGACAAGAGACTCGGCTACACAGCAGAAGCATACGAGACTGACCATATAAGCTGACTTCCATGCTTGTCTGAAAATTTCAGAAATTCTATAATAGTACCCTGCTGTACAAGCTGAATATTTAGGGATTCTGGCTCATGTTATTAGATAATTAGGATGTTTTAATATGAATAAGTTTATGGTTTCTAGCTTAGCATTGTCACCGGAGGAGCTTGTTCACTGATGTTCTCAATACACTTGATCCATGACATGCTTATTTTGCAATTAGCTAGACACTGCTATACTGTTACAGATATGATGTAATGTTGATGACATAATTATTTCCACTATCAATACACTTGAATCCTGACATGCTTATTTTGCCATTAGCTAGACACTGCTAGGCCGATACAGATAGGATGCATCATTGCCTCACGGTGCCTGACTAATATACCATTTCCACCACATATGTTTACCGCACCATACTTATTGGCGGTTATTTCAGCTTAACGTAGCCCTTCATGTTGAACATGCACAGAGCTTAGCATCAGCATCTGTTCGCTCCTATATTCTCTCATCAGTTGATTCTAAACAAGTTAAGCATTATTGGTTTGTTTTTGCATATATCTATTTTTAATCCTGTTTAAAACTGAATGTGAGGTTCATGCCACATTGCTTCAAAGGGCTGGTGTAGACCGTTATAATTAATAACACATACAAAATGAGCCACATAACACCAGATATGACGTGGAGGAATATATGACCAGCACAAAGCGTACATATGCCTGCTGAATACTTCTGACATCTTACCTTTCACAAAGCTCAGGTTTATTCCATTTAATTAACTGCTTGTCTATTCGAATATCTACGCCTCTGCGCAGGCAACCAAATGTTATTCCTAGGAATCCGCAATAAGCCTGCTCACACTTTAAATCAGCCTCTGCGCAGGCACATATGCAACTATGTTTTTATGCAACACTGAGCCTCTGCGCAGGCAACACTATATTGAATTCTGCTTCTCACACTATGCATGCGATTTTTACTGCAAAAACAATAAAAACCATTTAAAACAAAAATTCTATTTGTTCGGTTGAGTGTGTAAAGGTAAAATTCAGATTATAGAATGTAAGCTCGATTAAGTAGGGTCCTCTTCAACCTATTGTTCTCATAAGTTTTTTTTTTTTTTTTTTAATTGTCCTATTTATAGTTAAATCATATAATATTGTAAAGCGCTACGGAATCTGTTGGCGCTATATAAATGGCAATAATAATAATAATAATAATTATTATTATAAGGGTTGCAGTTAAGATAAGTTTTAAAATCCTCCAATGACTCCAAATCTCCTTTCCAGATAAAAAAACCAATCATCTATGTATCTTCGCCACAGGAACAGTTTGGCACCAAAAGGGCAGTGGTCCCAGATATACTCATCCTCCCACTTGCCCATGAATAAGTTCGCATAACTTGGCGCAAAATGTGTTCCCATGGCGCTACCCTCCAATTGGAGATAAAAATGTCCATCAGACCAGAAGTAGTTGTGTCCCAAGATAAAAGCTATGCATTGTATTATAAAATCAATTTGGTCATTTTTCAATTCCGAGTATATTGCCATAGAATATTGGATTGCTTCAACTCCCTGAAGGTGCTCAATGACTGTGTAGAGGGAAGTGACATTGGCAGTTACCATAATCATGTCATCTTCCCAAGTCAAGTTTGATAGTAGACAACATATCAGCAGTCCGTTACATCAATCATCTTGGGGGTATGAGATCCATGGTGTTAGCGGCACTAGTGAAGGATTTCTGGAAATTCGGCCTAGATTGCAATATCTCGGTTCAGGCAGAATACATCCGCGGGATGTCCAACACGTTGGTGGATTGGAATTCCAGATATCTGCAGGATACCAGCGATTGGCAACTGAATCGCTGGTATAAATCTGACAGCCATTCTGGGGTCAAGAAGTAATTTTTTTCCTAGTTTGTTGGAAAATCGGAAGTGCTTCAAACTGTTATTTTTGCCTTCCTTTGGATCAACCGCAAAAAACAAATGTGAGGAAGGTTGAACTTGATGGACGCAAGTCTCTTTTCAGCTATGTAACTATGTAACTATGTAATTGCGGCATTTTCCTCCAACTACAGTCACTCTGAGGCCCTCTGGAGATCGACCTTTTTGCATCATGGTTGAACTCCCAGCTACCAAAATTCCTCAGCTGGAGACCGGATCCACAGGCTTTGGCTTCAGACGCTTTCCTGCAGCCATGGCCGGACACTCAGCATGACACTTTCCCTCCATTCTCCCTGATATCTGGGACACTCCTTCATCTCAGACGTTACTGGGCCTCCTTGATCCTCATATCCCCGTTCTGGATGGCTCAACCATGGTTCCCTACACTCATGGAAATATCCATAGACTACCTGAGATTACTTCCTACCTCACCAGATCTCCTGCTGGACCCCAGCGGGAACTCACACTCCCTACTATTACAGGAACATCTCAGGTTACTGGCATGGCTCCTCTCCTGGGACTTGGTTTTGTTCCTAATGTTCCACAGTCAACTCTTGACCTCCTGGTGGGAGCTTGGGCTCCAGGAACACGAAAATCCTACCTTCATGCCTGGAATTCATGGAATAGTTGGTGGATCCCATATCTGCATCTGTGTGTCATATTCTAAGGTTCCTTACTTCACTGTTTCACCATGGCCTAGCCTATCGTATAAAAAAATTGTACCAATCGGCTATTTCTGCGGGGCACCAGGGATTGGATGGCTTCTCGTCAGGAAAACACCTCTTGGTGTGCCGGCTTCTTTGTGGCATCAGATTTGCACGCCCACCTCAACCTAGGTACTCCTCATTATGAGATGTGGCCCTTGTCCTCCGATTTTTACAAAAAATTGGCCAAGGAATGAAGACCTCTTACTCAAACAACTGATTTCCTGTAAACATGTGATGGATGTTCATGCGCTGGACGTTTCTGCACATTCCTTTACCTCTGGGGGTGTTTTGTTTGATATTTCAAGACATACGAAAACATCAATAATCTCAGTCTTCTATTCAGCGTTTCCTCAGAATATTCACCCATGCCCAGTTTCCTGTCTCAAAGAATACGAATCTAGGACTTCTTCAAATCATAATCCATGATGTCCAGAATTGTTTTTGGCACTCCGACACCCTCATCACCCTGTGTCTGCTGTCACATGGTCTCGTTGGGTTAAAGGGATTATGGCATCGGGGGGCATTGACACTTCAGTGTATGGGGCACATTCTATCAGGGGAGCCATGGCGTCTAAGGCTTTCTCCAAGGGATGCAGAATGGAAGACCTCCTCCGGGCTGCTGATTGGTCCCGTGAATTCACTTTTCGAGAATTTTATTTTCGTCTGGTTTCTCATTTTTCTGATGTGGTAGTTTCAAAAATTTGAACTAGCATAATATGAGCCTACGTGTCCTTTAATAAAATTACCAGATTTTACTAATTGCATGACATAAAGTCATGATTTTATTGAGGACACGTAGCAAGTATTAGCCCACCCGATGCAGGTATGTTTGCGCCCACCCTCGTTTGTTTTCTTTTGATATTCTATGGAAATATCATATTACAGTGTATTCACTTGTTGAAGTTTCTTGTGGGACACTATTCTGCTTATTTTTGGATATATTATTATACTTAATACCGTATTATGGATGTATGTTCATGTCCAGAAACATATTTGACCAGTTTGTTTTCTGTTCCTTTCAGCTTCCTAATCGGATTCGGCAATGTTGTGCATTGGTCTTTTTCATATTCTAGCAGAGGACCCTTCCCGATGGAGTACCAGTTCATCCAACCACGGAGTTGCTGTTTCTACTCCACGTTGACCATAGGTTCTTATACTGAGATGTTCGTTGGAATCAACAAGAAAGAGGAGGGGCTTAGGGTCACATGGGGATTTATGATGCAGAGAGCATTCTTATTGGATGTTTTGTTATGTTGTTAACCCTTTGAGGGTACATGTTAAAACAAATTCTAGGAATATTACAGTATCCTTTCTTTGCTGCTGAGAAATAAAGAAAGAGATTAAGCATAATACTCGCCTCTTTGTCCTTAAAAAAATCATGACTTTACGTCATGCAATTAGTAAAATCTGGTAATTATACAATACAAAACTACAACATATTACAAAAGGCTATAAAAGTTTCTCAATATTACAATGGAATCACATGGTACCTTACAAAACATGAACAAACTTACACAGGCCCCAACCTCTGGGGCTAAACAGTCAACTGCTCCATTCTTAGGCAGTCAAGGGCAGAACCAAAGAGAGGGAGCCTGCATCCCCCCTACCTCTGGTTTTTATTCCCAGTGTATTCCTAAGTAGGCTGACCTGTGATGTCACTGCCAGAGGCACATGGCTTAAGGAATCCTACACACTGCCCCTAGTGGTGCCTCTAAAGCATTTAATTCATTATGCTTTATTTTATAACATAAATTATTATATATACCATTACAGTATGAACCCCTCTACATCAAGAAGCAAGTTTGACTTGGTCCTGGACATGGAGGTACCATCTAGTGGCTGTCAAGGTGACAGCTTATCGAGCAGGCAGGGGCACTCTACCATATCTACCATATGGATGCTTTTAGTGTCCTTTTAATTAGAAGCTCCCACCTGATGCCCATGGGTGGGAGATTGGGGGAAGGGAACTACAGCCCCCCCCCCCCCTGTATTTATTACCAAATTGGCAGCTGTAGATGCTCATTGTTTAGAATACAGCACCATAGCAAATGGAAGTGTAAGGGAGGTTCAAAACCTCACATATACTAATGTGATATTGCTTTTTGTTTGTTTTTCTTTAATGACTAAAAGCGCTGGTGATTTAAACAGGCAGATACATTTAATTGCATTTTATTTCCAACTTCTAACCAGTTTAACTTGGTCTGGGAGATAGAATTTCGTGTGGCGTTAAATTCATCCTTAATCAAACAAAATAAAAAAAATTGAAAATGTCAATAATTATTGACCGGTGTTTGCAGATAGAAGGTCTATATCAAGGTCTATATGTTTTATCCGTCAATAAAAGTTAATATGGTTTATTAATACTTACAGTAACTTCATGATTCTCATGACAATTTAAAAATAAATAGTTTTTGGTTTATCTAGAATATCCCTTGAGGATACTAGTACAGAATTTCATTTTTTTCCTTGAAATGTGTATCAAATAATTTAAACAGTAAAACACAATATAGGAACGCGCTGATATGTTTAAACAAAGTATACAATCTACCAATGCCTCCCAACATTTGGCCGAAACGTTGGGGGGCATTCGTATTTTTGGTACCAGAACTATCTCTCTCACTCCATCTGTGTATTCCTGTTGCCTGGTATGTAATCCATGTAATCTAATAAATGTAAACAAATCGTTTTTAGTATTCCTTTGTTATCCCTTAGTTGAATGTATAAACCCTATGAGTGTAGTAATCTTTAGAACTATTGGACAAGTTATATCTGTATATAAATGTGTAAGAGGTTGGTTTTTATAACAAGGGGCTTCTGTTAGTTTGTGTTCAGATTTCTAATAAATATTGTATACTTTTTTTAAGACAAATAATTGTGCTTCTGTGTTATGTTTTTGTCCTTGCGGAAACTGGATTTTTATAGTGAGCGGCTGTGATTCTAGTTCGGATGTCGTAAATTACATCAATTAATACATATCTGAACCCATGACGAGGATGTACAACCAACATCAATGTAATGGTCAGGTTGGCAGGGATGGGGTTAAAGGTAACTGAGAGCAAAATAAAAGCAGTTTGTCTGTTTTCTGTCTTGACCATAGGCTTAAACAGCACAAGAAAGATATGGGGACGGCTATATTTGCAATAATTTGAGTGTATTTTCCATGCAGGCTTTGTGTATTCAACAATAATTTTGACTATGTTCTAATAAATTTATAATTATTGATGCAATATATTTAGTTTTAAAAAGTTAGACAATTCCGCACATTAGGTGGCACAGCACAATTATTAATTTGAGAGTTTATGTAATCGCCGCTGCAGTTTGCCACTAAATCACACAATTGTCACTAAATCTGTATGTGGTTTGCTGTTTTCCAGGGATGAAATGAAGCCAGAATCACAATCCACATCATGCCACAAATATGTCCTAGTTTTTCTGCTAATTACATTATTTAGCTTCATTTTGTTTACCTACATCAACATCAATAGAAGTAGCCCAGATATTGAGCCAACTCTGATTTTTACTATGAAGGAAGGTATCATGACTATCTTGCTTTGGACATGGCCCTTTGGCGATCGCTTTACTCTAAACCACTGTGAAAACTCTGGTGAAGATCAGGGATGCTTCTTCACAGCAGATCGCAACTATTACCTCACAGCTAATGCTGTCATTTTCCATCATAGAGATGTCTGTCAATCCAAATCACAAATGCCCCAGATAACTAGACCCCCAGGCCAATATTGGGTATGGTTCAATTTGGAATCACCCAGTCACTCTCCAAATTTAGGCTTCATGGACAATCTCATCAACCTCACCATGTCTTATCGAAGTGACTCTGATATCTTCACTCCTTATGGCTGGCTGGTGAAGAACAACATCAATCAGAACTTTACAATCCCTAAAAAGACACTTTTGGCAGCCTGGGTAGTGAGCAACTGGAATCCAAGCTCCAAAAGGGTTCAATATTATCAGGAGCTAAACAAACACATGCAGATTGATGTCTATGGTAGGCAGCACAAGACTTTACCACATGCAGGTATGCAAGATACCATCTCCAAATACAAGTTCTATTTTTCTTTTGAGAATTCACAGCATAGAGACTATATCACTGAAAAGCTCTGGAGGAATGCCCTGGCATTTGGGGCTGTGCCTGTCATTCTTGGGTCAACCAGAGAAAACTATGAAAGGTTCATTCCTCGAGATTCATTTATCCATGTAGACGATTTCCCTAGCCCTAAAGGACTTGCTGACTACTTGCATGAGCTGGACAAAGACAAAGAGAGATACGAACGATATTTCAAATGGAGGGCAAAACTGAGGTCAAAATCTGACAACAGCTGGGCTACACATTACTGCAAAGCATGTAAAGGATTAAAGGAGGCCCCTGCCTATAGGACAATGCCTAGTCTTGTAACGTGGTACACATAAATATAATGACACTATTTTAAATTCTGAGGAAAATATCTATACAGAGACATTTAATGGGAATACATGAGAAGCACTTCAATAATATGCACTGGTAATCTTACACATGTATCCGCAGATGTTGAATGCTATTGATATTAACTAGTATCATGGCTTGTAGAGTTATGTGTTCTGACATTTCTTTAAAATGGTATGGAGATTATAAATACTAGGATTTCGTTAGAATGAACAAACAACGTTTTTATTATCATTATTTAATATTTGTAAATGGTCAATACTTTCTGCAGATTTGTTCACTAGGGAAAAAGAGAAAATGAAGGCACACAATTATGTCCTTGCTTGTGAGCTTGCAATCTAATGATTATAAAAGGGAGTTGAGCTTGCGTAAAAAGAGTTAAAGTTATGGGATTATTGGGCTTAGCGTTAGAGTGGGGTTACATTTAGCATTTATGTACATAGGGTATTTAGGATCATTGCATCTAGGATTATGGTTGAGTTAAATTTAGTGTTAGGATTAAAGGTTTACTCAAGCATCAAACAACTTTCATTTAATGAAGCCGTTTTGGTGCATAGATTATGTCCCTGCAGTCTTACTGCACGTTTCTCTATCATTTAGGAGTTAAATTACTTTTTGTTTCTGTTTATTTAGCCCTAGTCACACCTCCCCTGGCTGCAACTCACACAACCAACATAAAAAATGGTTTCCTTTTCAATCAGATGTGACAGCATTATGTGTTTATTTTAGAAGTTTTTGTCTCCTGCTCTGTTAATTTCACTTTTACCACAGTAACGGAATCATTCCAACATGGCTGTTTTTCCCTTAAGGACCCATGGTGGAATATTTCCGTCATGCAATATTTTACCAGCAGGAACTGTCTCCCTGCTGGTAAAAGGGGAACACTAGGTATTATTAACAGCAAAAATACAATGCGTATGTAAAAATGAAAAAAAAAAAAAATTAGCTTTACAAACTTTAAAAATAAACAGCACCACTACAAAGCTCAAAATATAAAGGGGGTTATTCTGTACTCAGCAGACCTTGGGAAAGCACAATTTAGTGGTAGTGCATGTCAGGTATACAAAATAAACTGCTAAATTGTAATGTGCTTGTAAAAATACTGTGAAAATAAACTGCATTAAACCTTGAAATAGATGCTAAAATATCTCTACAATAAGGCTCAAAATACATTGCCTAGCCAAAAAAAAAGTCGCCACCTGGATTTAACTAAGCAAATAGGTAAGAGACTCCTATAGGATAGTTACTGCATGGGCGATTATCTTTCAGCTGGAAACAAATTATTTAACCAAAACTGATGAAATGGGTAGCTCCTCATTTCTTAAACAACCATGTCGAAAGACACATCCCGTGGCCATGGAAAAGATGTTAGTTTGTTTGCGAAGGGTCAAATCATTGGCATGCATCAAGCAGAGAAAAACATCTAAGGAGATTGCAGAAACTACGAAAATTGGGTTAAGAACTGTCCAATGCATTATTAAAAACTGGAAGGATAGTGGGGAACCATCGTCTTCGAGGAAGAAATGTGGTCGGAAAAAAATCCTGATTGATCGGGATAAGCGATCGATTAAACGTTTGGTGAAATCAAATCGTAGAAAAACAACAGTAGAACTCAGGGCTATGTTTAATAGTGAAAGTAAGAACATTTCCACACGCACAATGTGAAGGGAACTCAAGGGACTGGGACTGAACAGCTGTGTAGCCTTAAGAAAACCACTTATCAGTGAGGCTAATAGGAAAAAAATGCTTCAATTTGCTTGGGAACATACAGATTGGACTCTGGAGCAATGAAAGGTCATGTGGTCTGATGAGTCCCGATTTACCCTGTGATATGTGCATCAGGGTAAGAAGAGAGGCAGATGAAGTGATGCACACATCATGCCTAGTGCCTACTGTACAAGCCTGCAGGGGCAGTGCTATGATCTGGGGTTTCTGCAGTTGGTCAGGTCTAGGTTCAGCAACATTATGTGCCCAATGAATGAGGTCAGCTGACTACCTAAATATACTGCATGACCAGGTTATTCCATCAATGATTCATTGGGCTCACATTGTGAAAGAGTGGTTCAGGGAGCATGAGACATCATTTTCACACATGGATTGGCCACCACTGAGTCCAGACCTTAACCCCATTGAGAATCTGTGGGATGTGCTGGAGAAGGCTTTGCGCAGTGGTCGGACTCTCCCATCATCAATACAAGATACTGGTGAAAAGTTAATGCAACACTGGACAGAAATAAATCGTGTGACATTGCATAAGCTTATCAAAACAATGCCACAGCGAATGCATGCCGTAATCAAAGCTAAAGGAGGTCCAACAAAATATTAGAGTGTGTGACCTTTTTTTTTGGTGGCGACTTCTTTTTGGGCCAGGTAGAGTATAATAAATTAAACAACCCGTGGTGTCGACTTTTACAAATGGTATGCATTTACGGAGAAAACTGAACAGTCAAACTGTTACAAGCCCCAAAATAAGATATAGGCCCACCAAACCCTCTCTAAAAATCATAAAAACTGAAATAGTTAGGTATTTTTGGCACCTTAACTTTACAAGATTGGGGCATACATTTGGGGTATTGTTTTATTTAGAAGAGTTTGATGTGCATAATTTTATAGTTTTGATTATAAGAGCACATATCAGATTTGCAAAATGCCGAGCAAAATTGCAATTTGTAAGTTCAAATTATATTTTACTCCTTGCATTTTGTGACCTGTAATTACCAAAAATAAACTGGAATCCTAGACATATGACTTTCTGTAAATCACAACAAATAAATTAATTTATTTTGAATACATTTTCTTAAGCTGCATTAATTCTGCACACATTAATATTGCCAAAACTGTGAAAAAAATTTTTTATAAGAAAAGTGGATTTATATATGTCACGTCAAATTAAAGTCCCTCTTGTCCTTTAAAAACGGTAAGTTCATACAGCTGAAATCTACAAAGAAAAAAATATATAACATAGCGTGATAAAATAAAAATACACAGCACTGCACTGATTAAAACTACACTCACAAGAAATAGTAGTTATTGTAAAAATAATAATTAAATAATAATTAAATAATGTTCCTATGTCAGAATATGTATAGAAAACACAAGAGACCGGAAGGTAGGACAGGGAAAAACCTGCCCCCTCCCGTCTCTTGAGTGAATTAGGTCACCTAGACTGGATAATAGTGGATAACCCAAAATATAACAAATTAAAGAAAATAACCCCCTTCCCAATTTATTACACTGCCCTGCTCCCTCAAATTAGCACACTATCCCCCTCCCAATTTAATACACTGCCCTGCTCCCTCAAATTAGCACACTATCCCCCTCCCAATTTAATACACTGCCCTGCTCCCTCAGATTAGCACACTACCCCCTCCCAATTTATTACACTGCCCCCCTCCCTCACCCAAAATAATACTTTGCCCCCTACCTCAAATTAGCACACTACCCATTCCCAATTTAGTACACTGGCCCCCTCCCTCACCCAAGTTAATACTTTGCTTTGGTCCTCCTTATACTTACTTTTGAGATTGGACTGGGTTCCTTTCCTATTGGCTACCTTCTAGTAAGGCAGCTTTTTGGATAGTATATTTTCTTTAATGTTCCTACGTGTTTCTTCCCCTGTGGGGTTTCCTCAGGGACCAACAATAAAAACATACAGATGAAAACGCCATATTTTTAGAGCAGCGGAGGGATTTGAAGGCATGCTACCCCCACATCCATCAGGGGAGGCACCCGCATAAAACTAATATTTCTTGTGAGTGCAAATTTAATCAGTGCAGTGCTGTGTATATTTTATCTATTACACTATTATCCTTGCAGATTTCAGCTGTATCCCCTACTCATTTTGCACGAGATTGTTTGTGGGGACCTTCACTGGAGAGGTTGTTAACTATTTCCACACATTTGTTAAGCATTCATTTATTGGTGGGGGGAATAGATTGTTTTGCCTTTTGCAATAAATGAGAAAGATGGAAATTGAGGTTGAAAGCACACATAGCAAAAATGACAAAATTGCTTTGATCCTTAAAGGGTTATTCCAACCCTTTTTTACTATAGTTTTTTTCCCATGCATAATGTCCCTGTGACAGATTCATCTGCATTGTTGGTTCGTCTGTTTCCCTTTGTTCGCGGAATTGCCTGTTCCTATACCCCCGTTCGTGTATTTGCAAAATGCCGATTGAAACTACCGAACGAACGGCCACCCAGGAGAGGAGTGTGCTGCTGGTTAACATCTTGGCCCCAATTAGAACGTTGTGGTTAACCGCAGACACCTCTCCATTCCATTCGTACGGGTGGTCGTCGTTCGCATGTCGACCACGAGGCAGCGGCCATTTTGGGACATACGAACACAGAGCGGTGTTCGGTACAAACTGTATGGAACTAAAAACGGACACTTAAACTACCGAACACCGCTGAAAAGCTGCTACCTACCTTCCTTTTCGACAAGGCATGCGAACGTCGGTCGTTCGGGAGTTTTATTCAGTCGTATGGACTTTTACCCCGACAGCCATCCCATGGAGTCATTCGTATACCGAAGGACTGGTGAAAGACTTTGACTCCATGGCGATTCGACTAGATACATCGGATCTGAGCGCTATTCGGTGAAAACATGCCCTCAGATCCAGGCTGTCTGGGGATACATTACACGAACCATATGCATTCGGTATTTCTGTAGTTATGTATTTTAATGTCTTTTTGTTACTGTAAATTAAGATGGCGATGGTCTCTACCTTGGGAGATAATTAGGTTTCTTCCCCAATTATCTCCAAGGTAAAGAAGACGGAATTATGGGCAAGATGGGAAGGGCTACTATTGAAGCCACTGCGATTGGCTACTGTACAATATGTGTTACAGTCTTCCACAAGGTCCCCTCGGGGAGTGTCCACCTTGTGGAGACCTGCATAAATACCGGGCAGGTAGCCCCCATTAAACAGATCTTCATTTGACCCTCAAGACGGAGCTTGGTCTCGTTTGTGGGGGGAATTATTATTGGGACAGCGCTTTCGTTATTTCTAGCTGTGGAAGGCGTTCGACTGTTTGGCTGATCGGGAGTTGCCGTGTTCGCGGACTTCGTTCGGGAGTTTGGCGATCGGCTGGATTTAAACCTGCATTTCTGGAGGAGGGGATTATTGCCTAAACGGCGGCTTCATCTACCCGACGGTACGTGTCGTAACAATTGGTGGCAGCGGTGGGATGAATCCTACAGCCCAGAAGGCCAGCTACACATCCCAGGTTGGAAATGCAGTACGAGGAATTAAGGCGTGCTACCCTTAAAGATATATTGGAACGCAGAGGACGATCAGCGAGTAATCTCAAGAAAAGAGAGATTATTGCCATACTATTGGAAATGGATGCAGCACAGGGAACGGGAAGAGCTGATGTGCCTGGCATACTGGAGTTAACACCCGAGGAGATACAGTTTAACCGGCAGTTCAGATCAGGCTGGCACATTTTGGCCCCAACCCCGCAGCAGATATTGTGGTGCAAGTACAAGCGGCAGTAGCAGCACAACAGGCGCTTCAAGGAAGAGGCGCTGCAGCAGCTGAGGTACCGTATAATAATAATGGAAGGAGAAAAGTACCTTTTGCTGCATTTCGGAACTTTGTAGAAGCCGAAGGAGAAATTGATGGGTTCCTGGCGGATTTTGAAAGGCAATGTGCCTTGCACCAGGTACCCGCAGGAGAATGGGTCCCCATCCTCTCTGGGAAGTTATCCGGCCGGGCCAGTGAGGCGCTTCGGGCCATCCCAGAGGAGGAACTTACCAGCTACAGGGCAGTGAAAGATGCCCTTTTGGCCAGATACGCTGTGACCCCTGAGGCATACCGGCGGCGATTCCGGGACACTAACAAGCAGGCTGGTGATTCTTATGTTGAGTGGGCATGCCGAGTACACCGCACCGCAGCCCACTGGATGGCAGGGTGCCAAGCGGTAACTGGGGAAGAGGTGCTGCAAGTGTTTTTGTTGGAGCACTGTTTTGACCGCTTACCTGTAGGAGTCAGAGAGTGGGTTAGGGACCGCAAACCCGCTACCTTGCCCGAAGCTGCTCGTCTGGCTGATGAGTACACTGATGCCAGGAAACTGGACCAGACAGCAGCCAAGGTCCCTACCCGAGTGGAGTACAAACCAGCAGCCCCTCCAACCTCTGCAGTGTATCAACACCCAGCACAACGCACCCCCACCATGCCAACAGCGAACAATTACGTTCAGCCAGCCCGATTCAACGCCCGAGATTATTCACAGCCGATCCGTTGCTATGGGTGTAAGCAGTTGGGGCACAAGCGACCCGAGTGCCCATTAAACAATTCGAACCAAGCACAGTCGTGGAGAAGACCAGCCGGCGGAAATCAGCAGCCACCCCCACCTTCCGCTCACTGTCTTGAGCAGGAGGAATTTTGGGGTATATTACACGAGGCGGATCCAGTACAAGCAGCGCAGCAGGATAACCGCCAACAGCACAGGCAGACCGTTAAACTAAATGGCAAAGCGGTAACTGGTCTGAGAGACACCGGAGCCACTATGACTTTGCTCCAAAAGAACCTTGTGTCCGAACACCAGCACACTGGAGATACTGTGGCAGTGAGGGTGGCGGGAGGTGCAGTGTTCCGCTTACCGGTTGCCCGGGTTCACTTGGATTGGGGGGTGGGCTCTGGACACGTGAATGTGGGGGTCATGAAAGACTTACCGGCCGATGTTTTGCTTGGGAATGACTTGGCCCCTTTGGTGTCCGCTTATGCTCCAATGGGACCTGCCGCTATCAACCCAGTGACTACCCGTGCCCAGACCCGTGCTGCTGGAACCAGCCCACCTGCTGCTGAGACCCAGGTAAGGACCGAGTCCCCGACTGGTACCCTAGAACCGACCTTTGTTAACTGGGACTCCCCAGAGGAGTTTGGGAGGGAAACTCAGACAGACTCGACCCTCCAGAAGTATAGGGACAGAGCGGATACTGGAGAGGAAGGATTAGATGGGGAACGGTATGAGTGGGTGGGGGACAGGTTATATAGGATCCCCAAGCTTTCCCCGAAGAGTGTTGCCCCTCCGCCGAATCGACAGCTGGTAGTGCCCGCGAAATACCGGCAGGAGATTCTGCGGATAGGGCATGATGTTCCGTTAGCTGGACATCTAGGTTCCCGCCGCACAGCCTATAGGATCATGCAGAACTCTTTTTGGCCAAACTTCAATCAGGCTGTGCGGACATACTGCAGTACGTGTGACACATGTCAACGGATAGGAAAGCGGGGGGACCACCCAAGAGCTAGGCTTATGTCTATGCCTATCATTGGGGAGCCCTTTGCCCGCATAGCCGTTGACATTGTGGGTCCACTGGCCAGGGCTAGTCCATCCGGTAAGAAATATATTCTCACCGTGGTGGATTATGCCACTCGCTATCCAGAGGCAGTAGCGCTGTCTAATATAGAGGCAGAGACAGTTGCTGATGCCCTGGTTAGGATTTTTACCAGAGTCGGGTTCCCTCAAGAGATTCTCTCTGACCAGGGAACCCAGTTCACCGCTGTGCTCACCCAGCAACTGTGGAAGGTGTGCGGTATTAAACCGCTGCTTAGCTCACCTTACCATCCACAGACTAACGGTCTCTGCGAGCGATTTAATGGCACCCTCAAACAGATGCTGAGGACCTTTTCTGACACTTGCAGAGACTGGGAGCGATTCCTGCCTCATCTGTTGTTTGCCTACAGAGAGGTGCCCCAGGAATCTACTGGGTTCTCCCCCTTTGAGTTGCTATATGGGAGAAGGGTCCGCGGACCCCTAGATCTCATTAGAGGCCACTGGGAGGG